CCGCCAGGACTTTCGTACTCTGTCTTCCGCGGTGATTCTCGGTTACGCTGCCGTTCCCTCTGTCTCTGCCTCCTCGCCCCTGCTCTCTGCCAGTCTTTTCTGCTCCGCCGGGTTACTACCATCGTCCCTCTCACTCGGCAGCCGGTTTTCCGCTGTTTGCTCTGTCCTTCGCGGACCGTTTCGGCGGTGTCCCACGCGACCGTACGGCAGGATCAAATCCTAGACACCTCTTAGCTATGGTGTCTTGCTGTATGCATGCGTCTTTCTGCGGGGAAACGTGGAGAGTAGCTTGGTACGTTGCTGGAGAACGTTGTGGCCTGTTTAGTCTCTCTTTAACCGGGATCCTACGAGGATTATCAATACTACTCTTTACTACCTGTCCTTCTCTTGGCCAGCGTCACTGGCTCTGTCCCGATTCCCGACTACGCCTTCTCTGTTCTTGGCCACCCCTCTTCATCTCTCGCGATTTACGACGAATCCCCGTTCCGGGCACCAGGTGGTCCCCCGTATTTCGTGCCTCTTTCTCCCTCTTTCCGCGTCCCTCTGTCCGACACGGGGATCCTCTCACCTCATCGATCCCCGTTCGCCACGTTTTACTCCCCCCATCAGCCTCTGCCTCTCATACTCGTCTTCCTCTCATTATTTTTACTTCGACCCATTTTACCGGTTCGAGGATATTCATTTATCCCCCGCGCTCGCGCGCTCCCGGCCCCCGTTCGCCACCCTTTTATTTCGCGTTGCGGTTGTTCACCCCTAATTGCGACCACTCTTGACATCTTTCCGTCTTGTACCGACCGACCCGCGATTTCCTTTACCCCGACCGGATATCACGGGGTTCACCAGCCACCCGGTCTCGAGAGCCACTGTTTGATCGTCTATACACCTTTCTGCTTCCTGGCTCGTGCGGGGTGTCTCGCGACACATGGCGCCTGTATGCGAGGCGAGAAAACGGTGGGAGTCGCTGGGTTTTCATCGGTTTAGGGTTGCGCGGATACTTCTTGAGTATTGGGACTGTGTTAGGGGATAGCTGACTCAAGGTGTCCTGTGGAATTGCTAGACGGTTCAAGTGAACCACTTGAAATTTTCATTTTTTGTGTAATTATAGAGACGCGATTCGTCTCTTTGTGAGACGTTGTGGAATATATTTGTATA